TAAAATAGAGCCAAACAAACAACTATGATTTCATATTAAACGATACAAACTTTGAAGGGATCATACAGTACTAGTAATGATTGTAAAAAAACAAACTGGAGAGTACACACATATTTTGAAAGCAATTTAATATTGAAGGCCATTATATATACAGCCAATTATTTGTATGCATATATATAGATTTTATATATATATATATATATATATCTCATGAATATGTAAGATTCATTAGCCGTTATCTATCTCTCATGAATCTGTAAGATTCATTAGCCGTGCCCAATCCATGTCAGCGATTGGAGCTGGCGAACAACTTCGATGTCGAGCTGGAATCCCTTAACGAGAGCTTCAGGGTTCACTGGAGGATCCGATCCAAACACGGCCTTAGATAAAGTGACGACACCTGGATTTTGGCTATTAAGACTAGCTATTGCAACCGCAGTGTCGTTTCCGAGGTTGTACTGGAAATGAATGAGACCCTTTGGGAACACAAATACATCTCCTGGATTCAATATCTTTGCAAACAGTCTGTTTTTGTCGCCTGGATTCGAAGGGTTCGACGAAATGAATCCAGCATAAAGTGTGCCTTCAGTACACAGAAGAATTTCGGATGCGTGTGGATGCGAGTGCGGTGGGTTAACTCCCCCAACTGCAAAGTCGATACGGACTATAGAAATTCCGAGTGTGTTGAGACCTGCTAGCTGATCAATGAAAACGAGACTCACTTTTGACCCGTATTGACTTACTATTTCTCCGGGTTTATTCAGACCCGAATGGTAGAAGTCGTCTGACGTCACTGTTTTCGGGTCCTTGCATATCTTCCCATTCACCAACACTGCCATGCATGCATCGGAATCATGAATATATTGGATTTAATTCGAAGTAAAAAAAATGAGGAAATTGTGAATTGATTAATTACCAGCCGCATCGGAATCGGTGACAGCTACGCAGAAATCCTGCAACGGGTCGGGATCGTAGGCATTTGCTAATAAAGAAATAAAAAAAGCAAGAATTACGAGGAATAATATCGACTGATTATTATTAATTCCGGACATTTTCATGTTAACAAATTACGTACTATAAGTATATATATCTTCTTTGAATTTGTTTTTAGAGGTAATTGTGATATGCAGCAAAGGAAAACGGGGTACGTATTTATAGCCGAAAATCGGGGATGCGCAATCACAACTCAATTATGTTTGTTCAGCAGACTATTATAGACCATGTGATATATAGATATATTGGCCGTCACTCAATTATTCTGAAAATGATATAAACGTTGAATTTTTTGTCATTTAAAAATGATCTGTAAGTTTACTTTAATTTAATTATTGAAAAATAAAACTATGAAACGCAGGCGATGACGAATTTATATATATCCATTTTGAGTTTGGCTTCTGATTTTCATACATGAATTAGTTTTTTGTGTTTTCGGTCGTGTAGTTTGAGAAAATAAGTTTTTTTTATTTGGATTTGTCTATTAAAAAATTATTGAAAATTAATAATGCTTTAATTTAGTGGCTCCACAGTCATATTAGTGGGGCTCTTTGAGATACTCAGTATCCATTTTTTTATTAGAAATAAACCAAACAAAATTTGGCCGCACATAAACTTCAAATTTTTAATATATTCGCATTTGAGAACACATGCTGGACATTTTTTCAGCTATTTTGTAATTTCTAAAAAGTTGGAAATTTAAAATATGTTTGAACAGAAAATTTAAAATATTTTTGTTGTTTCATTACTTATTTACATGATTTAGTAATGGTTTGCAACAGGGGCGGAACTAGGATCAAAATATAGGTGCACAAAACATTGCAATATATATATATATATATATATATATATATATATATATATATATATATATATATATATATATATATATATATATCATCACAAAAAATTCTAAATTAATTCAAATTATTCTAATAATATACTGCACTTAATATTTCGGAGATTCATGGCACAATCTCATCTTTTTTCTTAAGGCGTTAGATAAAAAAATTCAAAAATAAGTAATATTCATAAATTTTATTTAAAATAATACAAGTTTTAACCATCTTATTTTATATTTTATATTAAATATGATATATTTATCTATAATTTATATAAGATTTTGGAGAAAAAACAAAAAAATTAATGGGTCAAGATAAATATTTACAAAAACTTTGGGGGGGCCAAAAGTAATATTCAAAAAAAATTGTACCAAATATCTAAAAAAAAAAATTCTTGGGGGTCAACGGCCACCCATGCCCCTATGAAGTTCCGCCATTGGTTTGCAAATTGATAGTTGACAATAATATTTATTTTCTATATATTTGTATCGGAATATATAAAATTAATTTAAATAAAAATAAAAACTTATATATGTTTATATAACATATTTATAAATATACCCCTATACTTTTAATAATTATACGTTTCCCAAATCCCAATTTTTGGGACATGTCGTTTCTCTGTATCAAAGGTATCTGTTTTCCCATATTGGCGGTGTCCATGTGCATAGGTCCTAATACATTCTTAACCTATGTGTTGGGTCCTAAATATAACCACACCGAAAAATTGGAGAATATATTTTGCCCTGACTTTGAAATTACTCCAAATGTGGAAATAACGATGCTACACCCGGTGAATATAACCAGACACCCTAATTGATAAGATTCCCATTACGGGTTCAGTTATGGTCCATGGGTTTTAGAAATATACTTATGAAATAAATTAAAAAGGACACATGTCAAGAAGAGAGTTACCCGATGAAAATCATCGGGTGTAGCATCGTATCCCCCCTCCAAATATACTTTCGAGATAAAAATGTGCTTGGTATAAACTTTTCAAATTTGACACAATTGTTTTTTTTCAAAATTCCTATCTCCACAAGATTAATCGGCATACTATCACCAGGTGTAGGTTCTATAAAACTAATATCTTCTTGAAAACTTTACAAATATATTTCTTCAAATACCTTATTTTGACTTCTACATTTCCTAAAATACAAAAAAAAAGATAATTATTTGTTTTTTTGCAAAATACATTAGATATAGGGCAAATGGCAAAAAGGCCCATCACATGGGACTTAAATGCATTTTAGTCCACAAAAAAAACAGTCCCTCAATTAAGCCCATCCCCATGTCTTTAGTCTAAAATACCTTCAATAATATAATTCTTAACAATTCCACCCATTATGCTCTAACTTCCTTAATATTACACATTGACCCCGGATTTAAACAAATATATCACATTAACCCCCAAAACTTTTTTTTAACAGAAAATAATTTTTTTTCTGAAATGTTTTTTTTCCGGCCGGATTCCGGCGTTGACTTTTTTTTTTTTTTTTTTTTTGAATTGTTTTTTCTTAGAAAAAAAATATTTTAATTAATATTACTGTCTTGACTACTAAATTACTGTCTCAGACAGTAATATTACTGTTTGGGATTGTAATATTATGAATATTATTTTTCCGAACAGTAATATTATTAATATTATTGTCTAAGAGAGTTAAATTACTGTTGGAGACAGTAATTTAACATCCAAGACAGTAATATTAATTAAAACAAATTTTTTTGTAAGGAAAAAAATTAAAAAAAAAAGTCAATTAACAGTTAAATTACTGTCTCCGACAGTTAAATAACTGCTGGAGATAGTAATTTAGCAACGAATACAGTAATATTAATTAAAAATATTTTTTTTAAGAATAAAAAAGTCAATTAACAGTTAAATTACTATCTCCGACAGTTAAATAACTGCTGGAGACAGTAATTTAACAACGAATACAGTAATATTAATTAAAAATATTTTTGAAGAAAAAAAAAACAGTCAATTAACAGTTAAATTACTGTCTCCGACAGTTAAATAACTGCTGGAGACAGTAATTTAGCAACGAATACAGTAATATTAATTAAAAATATTTTTTTTAAGAAAAAACAAAATTATTAAAAAAAAAAAAAAAAGTCAACGCCGGAGACCCGGCGGTCAAGGCCGTTGACCGGCCGGATAAAAAATTTCGGGAAAACGAAAATTCAAAAAAAAAAAAAAAAAAAAAAAAAGTCAACGCCGGAGACCGGCGGTCAACGCCGGAATCTGGCCGGAAAAAAATATTTCAGAAAAAAAATTTATTTTCTGAAAAAAAAAAAAGTTTTGGGGGTTTATGTGATATATTTGTTTAAATCCGGGGTCAATGTATAATATTTAAGAAGTTAGAGCATAATGGGTGAAATTGATAAGAATTAGGGTTAAAATTGGGGTCAAAATTAAAATTAGGGTTAAAATTGGTTAATTGATGAAATTGGGCTAAATTGGGGTGTAAATTATGAAATTGGAGTTGAATTGGGTTTCAATGAATTGGGGGTAATTTTGGTATATATAAAGGGATTTTCTTTATTTGCAAATAAGTTTGAATGGGGTGGGTTTATTTGAAAAACAAAAAAATTGGATGTCCCTTTTTTAATTAAGTGCCCTTGTCATGGGCCTATTTGCCATTAGCCCTTAGATATAAGTTGATCTCTACTTTTATCAATATAATTTATTTATTTCCAAAATTTTCTTCTAAATTACTTTTTGTCCTAAATGAAATGAAAATATAGCAAAAAGCACCAATTGTAGATTCCAGTCGTTGCAAATAAAGACCATATGCACCACTAAGATAAGATGGTGGCACCCCACATCATTATATCACACGTTACTCGTTTCCAATTAATTAATACATAAATATTCCAATAAGATGGCGGCTTATATATGCAAACGATCTTTTGTCAATTAACCCAAGTTTGAATCCCTTTATCAAGTCACATATAATGAATGTAAATTTACCTAGTGCACCTACACCGCATCAACAATCAGAAGCCAAATCCAAAATGGATACAAATAATTACAAATGATGTAATTTTCAGAATAATTGAGTGATCAAGACTCAAGACTGAGATATCATGCATGATGCATGCACATTATATTCTAGATTAGTATGTTGAAGAAACATAATTGAAGAGTGATTATTTGACATTTTCAACTATAAATACATACCTTGTTTTCATTTCCTGCATATTATCACAATTAATTACCTCTCAAAAATACACCCAAAAGATATAAACATATATATAGTACGTACTTTACTTTATTAATTACATGACAATGTCTGGAATTAATTTGTTATTCCTTGCAATTCTTGCTGTTTTTGCTTCTTTATTAGCAGATGCCTACGATCCCAACCCGTTGCAGGATTTCTGCGTAGCCGTCAACGATTCCGATGCCGCTGGTAATTAACAAATTCACAATTTCCTCGTTTTTTTTAATTCGAATTAAATCCAATATATTTATGACTCTATATGATATATGATGCATGCATGGCAGTGTTGGTGAATGGGAAGATATGCAAGGACCCGAAAACAGTGACAGCAGACGACTTCTACCATTCGGGTCTGAACAAACCCGGAGAAATAGTAAGTCAATACGGCTCAAAAGTGAGTCTCGTTTTCATCGATCAGCTAGCAGGGCTCAACACGCTCGGAATTTCTATAGTCCGTATCGACTTTGCAGTTGGGGGAGTTAACCCACCGCACTCGCATCCACACGCATCCGAAATTCTTCTGTGTACTGAAGGCACACTTTATGCTGGATTCATTTCGTCGAACCCTTCGAATCCAGGCGACAAAAACAGACTGTTTGCAAAGATATTGAATCCAGGAGATGTATTTGTGTTCCCAAAGGGTCTCATTCATTTCCAGTACAACCTCGGAAACGACACCGCGGTTGCAATAGCTAGTCTTAATAGCCAAAATCCAGGTGTCGTCACTTTATCTAAGGCCGTGTTTGGATCGGACCCTCCAGTCAACCCTGAAGCTCTCGTTAAGGGATTCCAGCTTGATATCGAAGTTGTTCGCAAGCTCCAATCGCTGACCTGGATCGGCAACGGCTAATGAATCTTACATATTCATGAGAATGCCGTTGCCCATATATACATATATATATATATATATATATATATATATATATATATATATATATAATCTATATATATGCATACAAATAATTGGCTGTATAATGGCCTTCTATATATTACATTGCTTTCAAAATATGTGTGTACTCTCCTATCTAAATATCTCCAGTTTGTTTTATTACATTCATTACTAGTGTGTGATCCCTTCAAAGTTTGTACCATTTAATAAAATCACAGTTGTTTCTTTGGTTCTATTTCTAATTAACAGTCACTTTGAAAGTATTTTTTTTTTCATATTATCTATCATTTTAAAATTAAGGGTAAATGATAAATAGGCCCGTGACAAGAGCATTTAATTAAAATAAAGACATTCAACTTTTTTGTCTTGCGAATAAATCCACCTCATTGAAATTTATTTGCAAATAAGGAAAATTGTTTAATATGTACCAAAATTACCCCCAATACCTTGAAATCCTAATTCAACTATAATTTCACGATTTACACCCTAATTTAACTGAATTTCACCAATTAACCAATTTTGACATTTATTACAATTTTGACCGCCACCGTCAGAGAACGCCGGTTTCCGGGGTCGGGTCAACATTTTTTTTTTCTATTTTTTTATTAAAACCCTTTTTTTCTTAAAAAAATTATTTTCACTAATATTACTATTGGAGAGAGTAATATAACTGTTTGAGACAGTTATATTACTGTATTAATTAATTTTAACGTCTTGGCCTGCAATTTTGTTGTCTTCCACTGTAATATTACTGTCTCCGACTGTAGTATTATTGTCTCACGCAGTAATATTACTGTTTGGGACGATAATATTTGTAATATTATTGTTTTGGCATTTAATGTTACTGTCTCAGACAATAATTTTGTTGTTAACACAGTAATTGAAAGAGAAAAAAAAATTTCAAAAAAAAAGTCAACAGCTGAATCTGACCGGAAAAACAAATTCAGAAAAAAAATTATTTTTCCCAAAAAAAGTATTTTTTTTCAGAAAAATATGAAAATGGGGTTAATGTGATATATTTATTCAAAGTCGGGGTCAATGTGAAATATTGATGAAGTTAGAGCATAATTGATGAAATTGATGAAAATTATGTTATGAGGGGTATTTTAGACAAAATAAACATTAGTTTTTCCAAGAATTATAAGTGTTGTTTCTAAGATCCATATATGATATATGATTATTAATTATCTTTTACCTAATACGAGTATTGAAACATTAATTAACGACACTAATATTTTGAAAATAAATGAATAATAATGTTTATGAACTAGCTTTGTTTATTAACTACTAACAGTGATATATTCATACAATAATTTTAATTATCTACGTACACCATGTGCTTGCTTATATCCTTTGTAGGCTTTTAAGGTTAGAATCGGCTTCCTTTTGGGTGAAGATTCCGATGACATAATGGAAGCACCGGCATATGCGGCGAAGGAGGCTCGAGAAATATGATATATAGGCTGTTGAGCGGTGGGTGGTGTGGGCTGTTGAGCAAAGATCGCGGCGGAGATGGGTCCCACTGCCACTGGCGGAGTGAAGCAGCCCCACCTTCGCACTCTTGTTCTTGTGTGAAGACTTTGGAAAATTGCAATTTGACCTATTTAAGTTTCTGCAACTTTTTAAAAATTCAATTTGGTTCCTTAGGTTTAAAAATTACATATTTAAGGTATGGTGCTTTTCTTTTTGCAAAAACCTCCCAAGGGTATTTTTGTCCTTTTCCAACTGGTCAGTGGGAAAAAGGTAAATAGGTCGAATGTGCTATTTAATAATAGTAAATTAAATAAGGGTATTTGCTATTTATTTTTTTTTTGACAGGGAAAATCACATAGTTGCGAATTTCACCGGAGTAGTAAATAAATTTAGATAGCCCTTTGTGGCTCCAGTGGTGACTAATACGCTAATTTGGCCACTATTCGTAGGTAAAATGATTTCTTTCATTTCTGAATCCCAAACAATTCGATTAGGAGTTAGTACACAAAGATTTAAGGTCATTGTTTCAAATTCACTCATTAACCCTTATTAAAAAAAAAAAAAAACTTAGAACCATTAAAATGTTTTATATTGACAAACCTTGACCATTAAAAAAACTTAGTCCTCCTCAAGATAACATCATTAAAAACGTTTGAAGTTTTGGGATAAAATTTGGTTAACCAAAATATTTAATTAACTTGTTTAACCATGAACATGTCCATGGTAAACTAAAAAGAAAAAAAAAAGAAAGAAAAAGAAAAAGAAAGACCATTTCCATGGTAAAACCATATTGATAACATGCATATAAAATTAGTGAAGAGTTAACGTTACTTGCTAAAACTCATATTACTAAGCAAGTTGTAGACTTTTTCAACTCTTTGTAGAATAATAATTTTTGTATGAGAAACGGAGATGACTGATTCACATGCATTGTAATCTCTATAAATAGACACAATTATGAAGCATTCTCATAACCTCAAACTAAGATATAAGCAATCATATATAAATTCACTGATCATATATCAAATATATATTATCAACTAAAAATGAAGATCGTCGCTCTTGTCTCTCTCACAACTATACTTGTTGTTGCATCTTTCGCCACACTGGGGTTTGCATCAGATCCTAGTCCCCTGCAAGATTTTTGTGTTGCTGTTAATGATGCCAAGTCTGCTGGTAATTTAATATTAATAATGACGAATATCTATATAATTGTCTATTTGTTTTATTATTTCATAATGTAAAATTTGTTATTTCCTAATTAATTACTATATATAGTCGAATATACATGTTGAACTCGTATTTATTTTTATGCATGTAGTTTTTGTGAACGGGAAGGTCTGCAAGGACCCTAACATGGTTGTGGCTGAAGATTTCTTTCTTTCGGGCTTAAACAAGCTTGGAAATACATCAAATCCACTTGGATCGAGGGTCACTCCTGTTAATGTGAATCAACTTCCAGGGCTCAACACTTTGGGCATTTCTGCTGTTCGTATAGACTATGCACTAAATGGACTAAACCCACCCCACACACACCCACGCGCCACCGAGATTCTAGTTGTGTTAGAAGGCACTCTTTATGTTGGTTTTGTCACTTCAAACCCAGCTAATCCTGCCCTGAAAAACAAGCTATTCACAAAGTATTTGTACCCTGGGGATGTTTTCGTCTTTCCAGAGGGTTTGATACATTTTCAATTTAATGCGGGGAAGACCAATGCGGTCGCCTTTGCTGGTCTGAGCAGCCAAAATCCAGGTGTCATTACTATTGCTAATGCAGTGTTTGGTTCGGATCCATCAATTAATCCAGCTGTTCTGACAAAGGCGTTCCAAGTTGAGAAGAACGTTATTGACTATCTTCAAGCGCAGTTCTGGTGGAACATTGATTAAATAGGACAATCTCATCATAAGAATCTTGTTACTATTTAATGACATATTGTCCTAAATAAAGTTATTGTACTGTTCTCTTTGTATTCCATTTGTCTGAATAAGTAATATGACTAGTATCTTGTAAGGTTTGTAAGCTCTACAAAGCACATCTATCTTAATGAAACTGTTTTTTCGATCAACAAAGGAAAAAGGACCTAATGTGAAACCTAACAATTTAAAGGACAAAATGCACTTTGTCCCCCTAGAAATTTTTGGGCATGTTTGTTTATGTTTTCAAATCTATTTCCAACTTCTATTCTATTCATAAAATTGAGATCGTATTTGTTTGAGGAATTTTACTTGAAAACACACACTTTTGCGCGTATAATTACGTATATAACCTGAAAGGACAAAAGTGCTCTTCAAGTGAACGGAGAAAACACAATACCGGTGAAAATACGTCGGAAAGTGTCAATTGGGGCAAAATGCAAGTAGAATAAAATTTGAATGGGGGAGAGTCTCACTTTTAATTTGTAAGGGGGAACGTACGAAAATTGAAAATTTTCTAGGGTGAAAAAGTGCATTTTATCTTAATTTAAATAATAGTTTTTAATAATTTAATTTGAACACCAAAGAAATCGAATATTTCTTTGAACATATTGCTTTTATTTTATCAATATAAATTGGGTTTCTCTTCATTAGTGAATTGTTATGTTAAAAAACAATCCCTCGACGAATGAATAGTTCAAATACTTGCATGAAAATTGAAGCCCAGCTTCACTTTCATCAAACACGTTTTCCGTCAGAAAGAATTCGGTGGCAGATCGTTTGGCTGATCATGCATATTCGCATCACGAAAGAAAGGAGTTTTGTCAAGCATCGGCTTTGTCTCCTTCGGTCTGGGTTGCGTACCGCTGTGATAAACTTGGTTTATGGAATATCAACCTTAGTCCTTAGAGATTGAAATGCAAGCATATTTATTAGCTAGAGTATTTGGGGTCTCTTTGTCGAAATTTTTTAATAGTTCAAAGCTCGGTTTACGTATTTTAGTAATTCCACTTTTAACCCTTTTTAGGGGCCTTTTTGTAATAGTTCAAAATAGGGTTTTTTCTTGGGTAAACTTCATTTTACCTACCTGAACTATACCCTACGTATAGAATACCCCCCTGAACTTCAAAATGAACCAAAACGGTCCCTCCTGATTATTGGTCAACGTTAAAAACCGTTAAATTGTGTAACACCGTAAGTATTGGAATAAAACCGTTAGTTTTAAAGTGATTTTACATATATGCCCTTACCATCTTCCTCCTCCCTTCTTCTCTGTTCTTCCGATTAGCTAACACCCAAAATTTTATCTTTTTTTCATCAATTCTCTCTCTCTCTCTCTCTCTCTCTCTCTCTCTCTCTCTCTCTCTCTCTCTCTCTATGAATCACCAAAAACCTAATTAATTCCATGTCTCCAACCATTCAAGATTCGAATCAATGGGTTGTTCTCCATCTACCGCGCAATCGTCTACACAAACGGGTAAAAAACAATTACCCTTAAATCCACGGCGTCTCCACCTTTCTTTCACCACCACCACCACCATAGTCAAGAAATTCAAGAAGAAACGCAAAAAAATGGGGCGATTTCAACAAAGCCCCAAATCTGAAGCCCTAATTGATGTCCATATCCACCCCTTCCCTTTTCGACTGTGTGGAGAAACAAAGCCAGGGATGGGAATGGTGCTTTTGTTGTTTTGATTCCTCCGTTTGTCACCTTCAATTAGTCATGCCATGAGAATGAAAAAAATGAAAATACCCAGACACAAATTTATTGTTCTTCAATCCATTTTTCGATTAAAAAATTATTGTTCTTCAATCAAGGTTATGAATGTTTGCCATAATCAATTTCTGCAAATAGAAGAGAGATGAATACGTATATATAGTATATACATAGAGAAATGTATATATATACACACACGCATATAGATAATAAAATAAATTAAGGGGTGAAAATGTCAAATCAAATGCAAAAAATATAAAAATAATTATAAATTCAAAAGTCAAAGTGCCAACTCAGCCAGGGGAGACGGATTTTAAACGGAGGGGCCGTCTTGATTCATTTTGAAGTTCAGGGGGGTATTCTATACATTGGGTATAGTTCAGGTAGGTAAATTGAAGTTTACCCTTTTTTCTTTCCCCTTTTTATTATCCGGTCAATTTAGGGGTACATTTTTCCTTGTATGGGTCCACAGGGTTTTTAATAAGGCCCCTGTACTTTCATAAGTATATAATGGAATTAAAAAAAATTGAAAAAAAAAAAAACTTGCATGATGATATAATTGTCGAACAAATATTAACTACTAAACGTTTTGCCTCGTAGAAATTAAATTAATCAAGGTGGATAGTATCATAGTACTGAAAGAAATTGGATTAAATTTCTGAAAAGGTCAATTGACCAATAAATTGATTTAGTCAGAAAAGATTTATTAATCATAAAATTCTGATAGATAATAGGAAGATCAACTAATTAGTCATGATATTATACAATACAATAACAAAGTTATGACTTCTTTATATTTTATTATTGACAAACTTGACCTTATCCTACTTATATTGTAGCGTAAATAACACGTAACCCCCTATAGTTACAAGATTTTACAGATGACCTTGAAGTTTGACACACGCGGTTAAGTTTGACGGAAAAACTAACAGAAACTATCTCATAAACCACAAGGGAGTCCTCTGCAAAAGCTTGTAACCACAGGAATTAAGTGCTATTTACCCTATATTATAACCGGTCGCGTATTGTTTAATTACGTAATGTTATAAGAAGGATATGTGATTTTTTTTGGATAAACGGTAGGTTAACCGAAGCAGGAAAAGTAGTTGGAAATGGTGAAGATCGAGAAGGATTCACAAGATATGAACTGGAATATGTCAATAAACTAACTGCCACGAGGATGAAACTACCATTTAATTTTCACTGTAAAATTATAGAATTTCACAGTAGGTTCAGCTTCAATTTCTAGAGAGAAGGAAGAGCGAATTGAAAGAGAGAGAAAATAGCTTCATTCATTTAAACGATTCTGTTACATGGAAATAAGCTCAAAGAGCTGTATTTATACGAGTGAAACGAAAATAACGGAAGAGTTGCTAAACTAATAAAAACGGTAACAAATTGGGAAATTGATTGGTGCGAATCAAATCAAACTCAAAATCAGTAGTATTAGTCTAGTTTGATATTCAATATTACTTTCCCAAACAATAATTATGTTGTTAACTCAGTAATTTGGCCGTTTTTACTCATAGATAAGGAATTAGGGTAATTATCGGGTCAAGGAATGGGTGCCCTGGGGATGAGGGATTTCGCCTTTATGGTTAAAGAAATTAGGGGAATTAATGACAACTTAGTCATATTGATTATAAGTTTTTTTTTCTAAGAGCCCGTTTGGCTAAGCTTATTTAAAACGTTTTATAAGCTTCTACACCTGATAAGATATTTTAGGAGCTGATAAGCTGTTAGATCTTATTTTAAAAACTATTTTTAAGGTGTTTGGATAAGTAGCTTATAAGTTACTTTTAGTTTTTTAATAAGTTGTTAAGAAGTTTGGAAATAAAAGGTCTGTTTATCGCTATAATGATAAAAAAATACATGACGCCATTATAACTGTTAAACATATTTGAACCAAATACTTTTGTTCCTAAAATATTATTATAATATTTACAAATTAATTTTTCAAATATATTAATATAAAATAAAGGTTGTAAAAGAAATGTAATTTTTTTATGGATAAAAGAAATATAATTTATTATTGAGATAATAAGAATATTCTGGTGTTTTATATACATATAAAATGTATATAGAGAATTTTTTTTTTTTTTTTTATAATTATTATGATAATTATATTTTAACTAATAATTAATCTTGATTACAAGAATACGTTTGTATTAGTATTCATGTAATATAATAAAGTATTTGATGGTAACTTTGTATTTTGAGTGTTTTAGTAAATAATCAAATAAGATCTTAAAGAAAAAATGTGGAGTGGAGATATTTTTTTAAAAACATCTTATAAGCTTCCTAACAACTTATTTTTTGAAAAGTATGATCTTTTTCTAATTTTTTTACCAAACACTTTTAAATAACTTATAAGCTCGTAAACATCTTAGCTTTTCCCTAGTACGAGTATTGAAACATTAATTAACGACACTTATATTTTGAAAACAAATGAATAATAATGTTTATTATGAACTAGCTTTGTTTATTAACTACTAACAGTGATATATAGTATGAAATTAGTTAAATGCATTCAAAGGTGATGCTGGAAGAGATATTGGAAGCTGGAAGAGATTGCCATATGAAAAATTTGGGTAATCTTTCATCAAAAAATGGTGGTGTCTATAATTTCACCATCTAACGAGGGTACCCGGAAAATTACTTGATAATTTCAACTCGATCATAATAATTAACCCATATTTTATTAAAGAAATATAGAAAACTTAGAACCATTAATATGTTTTATATACCATTAATCCTCCTCAGAATGAAGTTTGAAGTTGTGGGATCAACAGTAGATTAATCAAAATATTTAAATTAGCTTGTTTAACCAGGAACAAGTCCATGGTAAACTACGAGTCTACGAACGCCAGAAAAAAGAAAAAAAAAAAAAGAAAGACCATTTCCATATTGATAATATGCATATAAAATTAGTCACGAGTTAACGTTACTTGCTAAAACTCCTCAAATATTACTAGGCAAGGTTGTAGACTTTTTCAAATATTTGTAGAATAATATTTTTTGTACGAGAAACGGAGACGACTGATTCATATTGTAATTTCTATAAATAGACACGATTATGAAGCATTCGTATAATCTCAAACCAAGATATAAGCAATCATATATAAATTCACTCATCAAATATCCAATATAATATATATCAACTAAAATGAAGATCGTTGCTCTTGTCTCTCTCACGACTATACTTGTTGTTGCATCGTTCGCTACATTGGGGTTTGCGTCAGATCCTAGTCCCCTACAAGATTTTTGTGTTGCTGTTAATGATGCCCAGTCTGCTGGTAATTTAATATAAATAATGACGAATATATATACGTATAATTGTTTGTTGTTTCGTTCCTATGTAAAATTTGTTGTTGCCTAATTAATACCACATATCGTCTAATAAACTTGTGTCTATTTTTTTCCATGTAGTTTTTGTGAATGGGAAGGTCTGCAAGAACCCTAACATGGTTGTGGCCGAAGATTTCCTTTTCCGGGGGCTAAACAAGCCCGGAAATACATCAAACCCACTTGGATCGAGGGTCACTCCTGTTAATGTGAATCAACTTCCAGGGCTCAACACTTTGGGCATTTCAGCAGTTCGTATAGACTATGCACCAAATGGTCTAAACCCACCCCACACACACCCACGCGCCACTGAGATTCTAGTTGTGATAGAAGGCACTCTTTATGTTGGCTTTGTGACTTCAAATCCAGCTAACCCCGCCTTGAAAAACAAGCTATTCACCAAGTATTTGTACCCTGGTGATGTTTTCGTCTTTCCAGAGGGTTTGATACATTTTCAATTTAACGTCGGAAAGACCAATGCGGTCGCCTTTGCTGGTCTGAGCAGCCAAAATCCAAGTGTCATTACTATCGCTAATGCAGTGTTTGGTTCCGATCCGCCAATTAACCCAGCGGTTCTGACAAAGGCGTTCCAGGTTGAGAAGAACGTGATTGACTATCTTCAAAAGCAGTTCTGGTGGAACATCGATTAAATGACAAAACCTCATCATAAGAAATCTTGTAGCTCATAAATGACATATTGTCTTAAATAAAGTGTATACCACTGGTCCATGTATGTGTACTTCATTTGCCTGAATAAATAATATGATTAGCATGTTTTTTAAGCATTTACGATCATTTTTGTAGACTTGAATAAACATATCTTACACATTCTTAGAGATTATTCATTATATATAGGGCAAATGGCAAAAAGGCCCATCACATGGGACTTAAATGCATTTTAGTCCACAAAAAAAACACTCTCTCAATTAAGCCCATCCCCATGTCTTTAGTCTAAAATACCCTCAATAATATAATTCTTAACAATTCCACCCATTATGCTCTAACTTCCTTAATATTACACATTGACCCCGGATTTAAACAAATATATCACATTTACCCCCAAAACTTTTTTTTTTTCAGAAAATAATTTTTTTTCTGAAATATTTTTTTCCGGCCAGATTCCGGCGTTGACCGCCGGAGACCGCCGGTCTCCGGCGTTGACTTTTTTTTTTTTTTTTTTTTTTTTTTTTTTTTTTGGAAATTTTTTTTTCCTGACTTTTTTTTCCGGTCGGTCAACCCCCGTTGACCGCCGGTTTCCGGGGTTGACTTTTTTTTTTTTTTTTTTTTTTTTTTTTTTTTGAATTGTTTTTTCTTAGAAAAAAAATATTTTAATTAATATTACTGTCTTGACTACTAAATTACTGTCTCAAACAGTAATATTACTGTTTGGGACAGTAATATTATGAATATTATTTTTCCGAACAGTAATATTATTAATATTATTGTCTAAGACAGTTAAATTACTGTTGGAGACAGTAATTTAACATCCAAGACAGTAATATTAATTAAAACAAATTTTTTTGTAAGGAAAAAAATTAAAAAAAAAAAAAAGTCAATTAACAGTTAAATTACTGTCTCCGACAGTTAAATAACTGCTGGAGACAGTAATTTAGCAACGAATACAGTAATATTAATTAAAAATATTTTTTTTAAGAATAAAAAAGTTAATTAACAGTTAAATTACTGTCTCCGACAGTTAAATAACTGCTGGAGACAGTAATTTAGCAACGAATACAGTAATATTAATTAAAAATACTTTTTTTAAGAATAAAAAAGTCAATTAACAGTTAAATTACTGTCTCCGACAGTTAAATAACTGCTGGAGACAGTAATTTAGCAACGAATACAGTAATATTAATTAAAAATACTTTTTTTAAGAATAAAAAAGTCAATTAACAGTTAAATTACTGTCTCCGACAGTTAAATAACTGCTGGAGACAGTAATTTAGCAACGAATACAGTAATATTAATTAAAAATATTTTTGAAGAAAAAAAAAACAGTCAATTAACAGTTAAATTACAGTATCCGACAGTTAAATAGCTGCCGGAGACAGTAATTTAGCAGCTAAGACAGTAAAATTAATTAAAATATTTTTTTTAAGAAAAAACAAAATTATTAAAAAAAAAAAAAAAAAAAAAAAAAAAAGTCAACGCCGGAGACCCGGCGGTCAACGGCCGTTAAATTTTGGGAAAACGAAAATTCTTCGAAAAAAAAAAAAAAAAAAAAAAAAAAAAAAAAAGGTCAATGCCGGAGACCGGCGGTCTCCGGCGGTCAACGCCGGAATCTGGCCGGAAAAAAATATTTCAGAAAAAAAAATTATTTTCTGAAAAAAAAAAAGTTTTGGGGGTTAATGTGATATATTTGTTTAAATCCGGGGTCAATGTGTAATATTTAAGAAGTTAGAGCATAATGGGTGGAATTGATAAGAATTAGGGTTAAAATTTGGGTCAAAATTGAAATTAGGGTTAAAATTGGTTAATTGATGAAATTAGGCTAAATTGGGGTGTAAATCATGAAATTGGAGTTGAATTGGATTTCAATGAATTGAGGGTAATTTTGGTATATATAAAGGGATTTTCCTTATTTGCAAATAAGTTTGAATGGGGTGGGTTTATTTGAGAAACAAAAAAGTTGGATGTCCCTTTTTTAATTAAGTGCCCTTGTCATGGGCCTATTTGCCATTACCCCTTATATATATAATATAGGTGAGACCCAAAATATATAATTCAATATAATAGATATCGATTTAGAATCCAACATAATTCAAAATAGGTCAAAGTAATTGTTAATTAGAATAAACGCATTGGAGATTTGATAGACCAAGAAAACAAGATATATAAATGAGATTGGAAGAATACCAATGTTTCTTTTAACATATTATTTAGGAAAAAATAGAAACCCCTCGAAATAAAGTCTAATTACCAAAATCCCCTCATATTTGCCTAGTTACAAAACCTCCATGTTTATATTCACAGAAACTGTGTTTTGTCCGTTTACACTTATGTTATTTGAAGAAAATAGAGGGTAACCCATGAGACAAGGTCTAAATACGAACAA